CCACTGCAATACTATACGGACACAGCACAACGCAATGACGAGTAAAGCGCCAGCAGCCAACAGCCAGCAACACCTTCCCACAGTATTTCCTGTCTGTTAAATACACTTAGTAAACCCAGAGGCATGTCATCCCCACCAGTCACAAGACTACCCTGCTCATTGCACCATTTTAAAATGTGCCCACGATTTGTTTTAATCACATAAAGATAAAAGACGTAAGAGACAATCACCTTTCAAAGAAGAGTGTATTACTTACAGTTCACCAGAGGACAGAAGGTCCCAGCGAGCCACATGGGGTCACTCACAGGGAGAAGCAGTGAGAAGGCTTGAGTAGAATTGGTACCTTTATTACTCTGCAGTAAGAAGTAGCTAGGTAAGGACATCACTTACTAGGCAGGAAGCAAAACATACTGAAGCTAGTGAGTGGTTGCAATGTTTATAGTAAGATTACTTCATGTTCAAGATAACACTGGGATGACAGAGATGTAAAAAACTTTGGGCCATTAGCATGGCTCAATGACTTCATGATGCCAAATCATCAATTCTAGAATATCAAAAATAGTTATTAAGTTACCACAGCCAACTACTCATAAACCTTTGGCCGAGTACTCCTCTAGGCTGAATGCTACTACCAGCCATATACACCCTGGTCTGCTCCTCCCTTAGCCTGTCTGTACCCTCCATCTTTGTACCTTTTGCTGAACACTTTCCCAGCCATCGGAATCCTCCACTCTTGTAAGTCTTACATCATGCTCCCCTTTGTTTATTTCACCTATGCACCTCCTATCCAGGCCTGCCACAGACTAGATGTTATCTCTTTCCATGCACCACCTTCTGTGTCTGTCCCTAAGGTGGGTGTTCATCTACCATTTAGGCCTTATTGAGTCCTTCCCTAGTCTGAATACTCCTTCCTCCCTTGTACTCCCTGCCAAGCCTCACCCAAGATTACATCCACCCCCACTCAAGGACTTCTTGCAGGGTCATCTCCTATGTTGGCTACATCCAACACGGTGAAACATGTTGTTGGTTACTACATGAGGCTGGTTTTCCCCCCACCAACGCATAGCCTAAAAGTCCTTCTCTAGGCTAGATGCTCCCTTCAACCACACACAGCCTTCTAGGTCTTACCACAGACTAGAAATTTCCTCTATTCACGCAACTCCTGCACAATTCTCCTCTAGGCTGGGTTCTCCTTCTTTCCATTCACCTTCTAATCAATCAGGCCCTAGGATGGCTACACCTTGCAAACATGAACCACCTTCTGATACCTGTCCTACAGTTGCTGCATCCTCCACCCATGGACTTCCTGATGATTCCTCACCTAACCTGGATGCATGTGTCCAGCACCCATGCACTTCCGGCTACATTCTCAGCTAGGCTTACTGTGCCTCCACCAATGCACCCTCTGCCAAGTCCTTTCTACAGGTAAAAAGTTCTTGATTATTAAATGTTAGCAGCTAATTGATTTTCTTTCAAAACATCTGTGTAGGACTAGCAAGACCATCTGCTATCCAGATTAGGTCTGTAAGCTGCCTTTCTGTAACTTACACTTTAGAAATGATGTACTGATGTTTATGGAAGGATCCATTTTTCTTAAAGCCTTTAAATGTCTCTGTTCCCAAAGGTTGTTCTCAGTAAGAGGCCAGCCTAGTGTCCAGGCCTTGTGCTCCGGCCAATCCCAAGCCTACATGACCCTCCCCAAGGCCACACAACCCTCCAGGTTCCCCTCAGTCTTGGTTTCTGGGCTCATCTCTTCTCACACATTACGTTTTCTGCTGTGGTAACCTGTGTCTGACCCCAGCCTGTCCCGATACTGCCTTTGATAACAGACTTGGTTTGGCATCCGCATCCTTCCCAGACCATCCCCACTCACTCCAGCTTTCGCTGTCCACTCCCAACAGGGCACTAGTCATCAATGGTGTCCTCTCTCCAGGGCCCGAGCTAGAGTTAATCATTCCTCACCATCCCCCACCTCCCACTTTGTGGAAATGCACAAAGGGCCTAAACTCGGGTGGCTCATTCTTTCCCAAGGGCAGTGATTGTCAGTCTCTGCCCACCTTCCTCCCCCCAGTGTAGGATTCCTGTGCCCATGTAGGAGGGGGACATGGCAGGGTGCTGCATTTACACCCATGCTCTACTGATCATGGCCTCCATGTTTCCTGGGAAACCCACAAGCACAGCAGAAGCATAGCTCTTAAAGGGACGGTGGCACTGCCCTGCCCGGTTTTCCCATGCCCTCGTGACTGCAGAGGGCTCGCCAACATAAAGTCACTAAGGCTCAAACTCCAAACTCTACCTCGGATATCAGATAGTCTGAGTGAGCCCGAGAAGCCTGGCTCCCTACAGGTGTCACAGGGACCATTAGTGTCCACTACTGCATGGACCGTGAGGTGACGGCCTGACCACACGGGTCTGCTACACTGACATAACTTATGCACGTACTCTCACATCTCTGGCCTTTAATGAATTCCTCCTTAGCTGTGCCTTTTGGTAAAGGACCCAGGAGACTATTTTGTGCCAAAACAAGGCACTGCCATAAGCCAAAACCAACAGCTTTTAAAAATCAGCTACGTAACCAACATACCAAGATCTTAGCATAACGACTGATTCCCTAGCATCGCTCACCCTGGAGGCACTTCCTGTTGGCTGAAGGACACCAAATACAAGAAACCATGCCCGGTGTGCAAAGATGCACCCCTTCAGGGATGGGGTGCCGATGCTCGTGCTATCCTGTGATCCTCCTGGGAAAGAGACTCACCTGCAGCTGCTGGGAGAGGCCTGCTGGCTACTCGGATGAACAGAAGAGTAACCATTGAACTTGGCTAAGGCTAGGAGGGCATCCTGGCTCTCCATAACATACCACAACTTTGTGGCGTGGACATCTTGACAGTGAGGTTTCTGAAAATATGGGGCTGAATGGCATTGTGGAGCAAGAATGGTTCCTTGGATTTCCACAAGCACATATTCCGATGACCTCTAAACACAACCTTGATGCTGTTATTGTCAGGATACTCTTGTGAGACAGGCAAAGGCAAAGCCAGCTCCACACTTTGATAGATGGTGGAAGGAGGCAGAGGAGAGCACAGAGGAAATGGGACTGAGACCTGTCTGGTTCCTGGGTGTGTACCTCTGGCTTCTTCCTCTCTATAGCACTCTCCTGTGTCTCCACAGGGTGCAGCAGGCTGTGGTTCCACAGCCAGAGGCCCAGGCACCCCACCATCATGGAAGAACCAGGCCCAGGGGCGCTTGGGAAACACCTCTAAGCTTCTGGTCTACAGGGAGGGAGAGACAGGCAGCTACTCATTAAGGACACACTCGGTGCTGGGCACCGCGCTCTGCCACAGCTTCCAGGCACACATTAACTTAATCTTTGCGAAAATCCAAAGATGGAGGAATTCTTAGTGTCCCCATTTAACACATGAGGACAGTGCTGCTCAGAGAGAAAAGAAGACTGTCCCAGATCACATGGCCACAAAATGGTGAACTGGGATGGCCAACCTAGCTCCTCTGATCCCACTGTTGAAGCTGCCAAGGTGACCTCTGAGCAGCCCTCTATGACAGGCCAGGGGTGACAGAGGGGGGCTCTTGAGCAGATGATGAACAGGAGAAAATGACAGATGCCGACAGTCACAGGAAGGGGACAGACTGCCAGAACACTCGATGTGACAATTATTTTTAACCCAAAACAGCACAAGAGTGTTTATAAGAATCGTATGTACTTGTGAGTTCACCATTTGGGACGGGATTTACACAGAACACACTTACACCTCTCCAAACAGACATCCAGCCACTGAGAACTCTAGGTCGCTCCCTCAAAATAGGACCATACACAGGCTAGGTGTTTCAGCTGAGAATGAGACTAACAAATGTGTTTGTAATGGAATACATTTACGAATAATCTGTTAAGGGGCCCCTGGGTGGCTCAGACAGTTTAGTATCCAACTCTTGATTGTGACTCAGGTCATGATCTCAGGGTTGTGAGACAGCGCCCCAAGTCAGGCTCTGCAATGGGTGTGGAAACTGCTTAAGATTCTCTCTCCCCCTTCTCCCTCAGCCTCTCCCTCTCTCTTCTTCTCAAAGAAATACATGGATAAATATATAAATCTATTAATAACCATTAAGAACTTCTGGGACTGCATGTCTTAGGCCAGATAAAACCTTTGATGCTACTATATTTACCAGTGTCCACAAGAGAGGAAAGAAGGATATACTTCACAAAGCATCACAGCACTAATAATCCATGTCTCAAGTCTTTTGGAATGAGGCCAGATCTAAACGAATGAAATCAACCTGAGCATGGCTCCTTTTTATATGCCTCTACACGGTTTCCCATCACTCCTCCATCTTCATGGAAAGCCCCTGTCCCATTAGGTTCATGCCAACTGCTACACCACCCTCTCCACCCAGCCCCACTGCCATCTCCTCCTGACTTCCACACATTCCCCCATCATGCAGAAAGCCTTCAGCCCCACCCCGGTTACCATCATTGTTCTGGGAATTTGACATGGCTGGGAGCACCCCCCCCCACAGCCATCCTCCTGGGAGGCGTTGACTTGCTCAGAGCCAGGGAGGAAGTCTTCCCCCCCCGCAACCAGCTACTCCCTCCACAGCCACACACCACCCCAGCCCACAAACACTGTCCCCAGTAAACTGCTCCGTGAAATACCCAACTCCAGCATCCCACACTGACCGCCCTTTCACCCTCCACTCCCCGTGGGAGATGATCTCCCCCACAACCAGCCACTCCGGCCATGGCCACTCCCCGTACTGTCCCCAGAGAAACCGCTCCCTGAAATGCCGGACTCCAGCATCCCACACCAACCTCCCCTTCCACCCTCCACTCCCCACGGGACATCTCCTCCTGGATGTCCCACAGACACCGCCCACTCAGGAGGACAGAAACAGACACCAGTCAGAAAAATTGCACTGGATCTTAAGTCCTTTAATGGCTCTTGCTGACAGGAGAGCAGGGCTCCCTCATCTATGCGCGGGGCCGGGGACTAGATGAGGCTGTTGGCTCTGGGACCCAGGCAGCACCACTTTCTGGGCTGGGGCACCCCCTCCACCTGAGGGCAGGCGCTGTCCTCAAAGAGGCGGCTCAGGTGTTGGTGGTTGTCCAGGGCCCTCTGCACGTGCTCTGGGGTGATGCGTATCTTGTTGTTGTTGCAGGCCTCCTGGCCCGCCAGCTCGAGGATGTTGGCCGTCAGGTACTCCAGAACGCCGGTGAGGAAGATTGGTGTAGATGAGCTCAGGCGCTGAGCGTAGCGACCCTCTCTCAGGAGGCGGTCCACGCGGCTAACCGGGAATTGGAGCTCAGCTCTCATGGAGCGGGACAGACTGTGCCTCCTATGCCTAGGATAGTGCCAGGGCCTTCTTCTCCCAGGCATGATGGTAGCTGGGGTTTGGCCCTGCCTGATGGTGCCAGGGGCCTGGGTCTGTCTGGATACCAGTGCTCGCTCCTGCCCACTGTGCCCCTCTCTGGCCCGGGAGCTGCCTTTAAGGCAACTCGGACATTATGATGTCATTGATGACACTGGGCCCTGATCAGGACCTGCCTAGAAATGTCTATGATGGAAACCTGGCCTCCGTGTTGAACTGCTATATGAGGGAACTTTAACATTCTACCTGATGTTGGTATTCTAGCAAGATATGTTTGAGTGAGGGGCGCCTGGGTGGCTCAGTGGGTTAAGCCGCTGCCTTTGGCTCAGGTCATGATCTCAGGTCCCTGGGATCGAGTCCTGCGTTGGGCTCTCTGCTCAGCAGGGAGCCTGCTTCCCTCTCTCCCTCCCTCTCTCTGCCTGCCTCTCCATCTACTTGTGATCTCTCTCTGTCAAATAAATAAATAAAATCTTAAAAAAAAAAGATATGTTTGAGTGAAAAATGTTTCCTTGGCTATAGGATACCACTCCAGGTATTCTAGCCTTATGTTATCTTTGAGCTCTTTTATATCCCTTTTTAAGTTGTAGGTCACCAATATGCACAACCTCCAGCATAGGCTCAAATAATTCCTTTCTCACACGGTAATCAAACCAATTTTGCCTCCATGTATGCTTTCATCTCACTATTCCTGATTAATATTCCTGTTTCTATGCTTTGGATTCTCTTGTGAACAAGCTAGAATATCTGCCAATTTGCTCATGTGATAAAATGCTTTAACATGTGTTCACATCTGAATGAGTATCATGATCTTATACTTTCATAATTATCTTTAACTGTTTTAGAAGAAAACACCATATGTCCAATTGTCTCATCTACCAGAGCCAGGTAAACTTCCGTGCCAGAGAAGTGGCCCATATGAACACTTAAAGCCCAGGCATGTCTTTTCTTGGCTCTTCAACATGACTCTAATGTACCAATTACTACACTGTTAACTCTTTACAATTTGTTTTCTTCTCTACTTGTTTGGTGTTTCTGTTTTGTTTTTGGTTCATTTTTAGCCAGTAAGTTATTCCCTGCCCCTGCCAGCCAATCTACTTTCTGTCTATATAGGTTTGCCTGTTCTAGATATTTATATAAATGGGCTCACGTGAGACATTTTGTACCTGGCTTCTTTTGCTTGGCATATTTTCAAGGTTTGTCCACATTATAGCATATGTCAGTACATAATTTATTTTTACGGCTGGAGAATAATCCATTGTATACATATATCACATTTTGTTTATCCATTTATCAGTTGATAGACATGTAGGCTCTTTCCAACATTTTGGCTGTTATAAATAATGTTGCTGCAAGCATTTGTGTATAAGATTTTGTGTTAACATCTGGCTTTGATTTTCTTGTATATACCTAAAAGTGCAATTGCTTGGTCATGTGGTGAGAATCTGTATTTACGGTCTGACCCTCTGGGATCTTTCTAAATAGATTGATGGTTTGTAGAGATCTGGTCCCCGCTGGGTGAGAGACAACAGAGAATCTGGTTTGTCAGTCTTTTCGTTTGTCTATTTTTAGTACAAATCAACTCAGAATATCATGCCCTCTGGGAGGAGAACACCTCCTTGGTATCTGTACCAGGGAGGTTTACTGTTTCTGTGTTTATACTCGACCCATGGATGAAACAGTAGAACTGAGGCTACAAGTTCTATTTGTCTGTGCCTGTACATCTATGTGTCTGTAATCAGAAATGCCTTCATCACTGATTTTGTGAGTATATAAAGTCTTCCTACCTCCACATGGTACTAATACATTAGCTTATAAATTTTCAGAAATTAAAGGCGCTCTACTCTGACTGGGTATCTAGATAAATAATTGCTTACATAAACTGAATATTACTCAAATACCCTGAAAATAATGAAATTAAATTTCTGACCCTTTAATGTGCTTAATTAACAAAAATATTCTTGTAGAAACTAACTCATTCATTTCAAGAATTTAAATTCAAAGTGAAATAAGTCAGAGAAAGACAAATACCATACGATCTGACTCCTATGTGGACTTAAAATGGGCAAGGGGAAAAAGAGAGAGACAAGGCAAGAAACAGACTCTTGAGAACAAATAATGGTTACCAGAGGGGAGGTGGGTGGGGTGAAGCTTAAATAGGTGATGGGGATTAAGGATTGTACTGGTGATGAGCCACCAGGTGATTGATGGAATTGTCCAATCACTATACTGTATACCTGAAATATAATACTGTTATTAACTATATTGGAATTAAAATATTTTAAAGTAATTTAAATTCATATAATTTAAATATTTGGTGAAAAGGGTTACTTTAATCTTTAGTTTTTAATAAAAGCAACTGTCTTCTCTGATTTATCAGTGTCAAGTATAATATAAACATTTTTTTTCTACTTGGGTATGTTTTTCCTAAACTTATACAGGTTTACTGATTAAGTACAGTAGCATTACTTCTAGTTATTAATACAATAAAAAAAGAAATTTATTTTTAATAAAGTTGAACCATTATTCAAACAATTTTTTATTATCACAGTAATAAGATTTTGCAGCTTGAGGAAAGTTCCAGACAAGATAATATAAAAAGAAACATGAATCCGTGTTAAAATTTTGCCAAATCTGTCTCAATTTTGATGGGCTTATTCATAAGATTATAAAAATAAGCTTATGGTTCCCTTAGAATCAAATATTACAGTAATGCAAACCTAGAATTCAGCTTTCTCTCTGTAAAAATGATGTTTCCTTGGAGGACTTCCCTTACTAAAAGAGAAGTAAGTTGCTAGAATTAAGTTGCTAAGAACTAAGTTGCTCTTAGTAGAAGGTTGTGAAAGTTCACTCTTCATACCATTTGGTAATTTGTTCAAAAGCAGAGATTTCTTATCTCACCAAAATACTGTATATTTTATTTCTAAATTACACATCCTAATTATGCTCCTTAAAATAGACAAATACCATACATTTCTAATAATATTAAGGATTTGTGTTTAAATATTGTGTTTATTAAATATTATATTGTCACTTTTATTAATAGGTAGCATTGTTACAAGCATTCATATTCACCCAAGTGCCTACTGGTGACTCCTCAAGGCTGGCTTCCCTCTATATTCCTGCACTTCTGCTGAATTCTGCCTTAGGTGGGACACTTCCTTTACTCTTGACGTTCCTGGTAGATTCTTCTCTAGACTGAGGACCAAACACTCATGCACCTCCTGCCATTCTATCCATTCACATTCTACCTAGTCATTCCCAAGGCTGTCGTCACCTGCTTCCAGATCCCTCACACATCACCTTTATCCAGAATTCTTGCACCAGTGGCCACGTCCTACCTGCTCTGGCTGTACCCTTGGACTAGACTAATTTAGCCCTGCACCCAAGAACATCTTGCAAAGTCCTCCACAAAGCTGGCTGTACTCTGCACCAATGTACCACCTACCATGTCCTTCTCTTTCTAGCTTATACTCTCTAACCTGAACTTCCTACAGAATACTCTTCTAGCTTGGCTATTCCTCCCAATCATGTAGTTCCTGCCATTCCCAATCAGTTGCCTGCACCCTTCACCTATGTACTTCTTATTGGAACTCTCCTAGGCTGACTGCATCAACTTATGCATTCCAGTTGAATCCCCCTTTAGACTGAATTCTTCCTCCATCCGTTTACTTCCTGTCAGAAAGTACATTAAGCTGGCTGCAACCTATGTCTATGCACATCCTTTAGAGTCTATCCCCAGCTCACATCCTTTCTTCACCTATGCACCTACTGTCATATCCTTGCCTGCACCTCGCCAAAACTGGTTGAATCCTCCACCCATGCACTTTCCTCCAAGTCCTCTGTCTTAGCCTATTCAGGCTGCTATTAAAAAAATACAACAGAGTAGCTTATAAATAACAGAAATTCACTGGTCACGGTCATGGGGGCTGGAAGTCCAATATCATGGCACAGCTATGGTCAGATGAGGGCCCTTTTCTGGGTCACAGACATCTCACTGTATGCTCACAAGGCAGAAGCACAAGGGATCCTGCTGGAGCCCCTTTTGTAAGACACTAATTCCACTCATGAGGGCTTCACCCTTATGGCTTAAACACCTCCTAAAGGCCCCACCTACTAATATCATCACATTGGGCATTAGGATTTCAACATGTAAATTTTGGAGGACACAAACATTCCTACCACAGTTTTCTCCCCTAGTCTGGATGCATTCAACCCTAGGAACCTCCTGCTAGGTCTTCTTTGAGACAGGATACTCCCTCTTTGAATGTCTCTATCACCGCATCATCTACAATCCCGAGTGCCCTCTCCACTTAAGTCCTCTTTTCCAGATATATCCTGGGCTGGCTCTATTCAACAGGGACTTTCTTCAATATCCTATGAACAGGTTGTTTGTGCTCTCCTCTCAAGTATTTCCTGCTGGGTCCTATGCTAATCTGACCACATACTCCACCTCCTGCCAAGTCCTTCCCAAGACTGGATGATCTCTATACCTACACACCTCCTGCCAGGTGTAACCCGAGACGGGCTGCACCCCACACCAATACACCTCTACCATATGCTTCCCTATGATGGCTGTACCTTCCATTCATGCACCACCCAACGTGTCCTCTCCCATGTTGGATGTTCCTTCCTTGTAGGCATATCCTACTGAATCCTCTCCTAGGCTGGCTGCACAGTCCACCAATATACTTCCTGAAATATCCTCTCCTAGACTGGATGCTCTATCTACTCATGCACCTCCTTCTCCAACCTCCATTAGTCTGGCTATAGTCTCTATCCATGAGCCTATTTTAGAGTCTTCCCATAGGCTGCAAACTCTTACACACATGAACTTCCTTGCTTAGACTGGCTGCACCCTATAGGTATGCACCTCCTGCTGAATCCTAATTTAGGTGGAATGATATCCCTACCCATGCTTCTTCTAATGTCTGCTGTCCTAAGCTGGATGCTCCCTCCACTCATGCACTTCCTACTAGAGGTTACATAAGGCCAGTTGTGCCTTCCACAC